CCCCGAGCCCGGCCCCCCCCCCCCCCCTAGCCCCTGCCCGAGCCCTGCCCCACCTCCTCCCCTAGCCCCTGCCCTAGCCCCATGCTCCAGTCCACCCTTCCCCACGCTGCCCGCTGCCCTCCTATCCTCCTAGGGAAGGCCCTGGTGTCACCTCTGCCGTCCTCACCCTCCAGTGCAGGAAGGCCTGGCCACTCAGCTTCAGGGCCACAGGCAGGGCTGTCGGGCATCTCTGCCCAGAGGCCCCCAAGCACAAACTCGGGGCTTGAGACCAATTCCTCTTCCTCCTCCTGCCCCAGCCTCGCACCATGTCACGCCAAGGAAAGGCCTCGGTCCACCACGGGCCCACTCTGCCTCTTTGCCTCCCTCTCTCTAGTGGCCTGGGACGGGCCGTCTCCCCTCAGGGTGGCCATCTCGCTCCTCTCAGATGTGTCCAGCATCAGCCCGAGTGGCCGACTGAACTGGGAGCCCACACCTGGCCCCAGGGGACCCTCCATGCCACATCCTGTCCTGCCTTGTGCGCTGGGCCAGCCTGGGCACGTCCTCCACACCTCAGCCCTCGTACCTCCTGCTCCTGTCCCTTCCGCCCACTGCCACTGCCACCCCTGTCTTCTTCACCAGTTCAAGCACCATGTCCTCCAAGACACCCTCCCAGGCTTCAGCTCAGCGAGCCCTGCCCAGGGCAGCCACCCCGTCCATCCCAGGACTCCCCGGCTGGGAAGGGCCAGCTGGGACGTCTGTGACCCCAGATGCGTGTGTGCGGGCTGCTTCAGACCGGCCTGGGGGCTTCTCTGTGGCCTTCAAGGCCGGCGGGCCCACAGCACGGCTGCCTAGAGACCCTCAGAAGGAGGCTGCTGGCCCTGGGTCGCCCAGGCAGGCTCTGGGGGCCGCCACGCACACACGCCGTACCTGATGAACATGCCGACGGCGTAGGCCACAAGGAAGGCGTTGTCCACGGCCCCCAGCAGCTCCTTGTAGTTGTCCTTGTCTGAGCAGGGACAGAGCAGGCTGGCCACTGTCCCCGCCCTCCCCGGCTCAGGACAAGGGCTGGGTGGGGTGCCCTGCCTTACCGAACGGAGCCCAGCTGCACCATGTGGTGTCGTTAAGGCTGTGGGTGCCGTTGCCGGGGCCGACCAGCTCTGAGCAGTTCAGGTGCAGGCGGCTCTACACAGGCAGCGGGCGGACAGGGACGCCTTGTCACCGGGGCGTGTGCAACACGAGGGGACCCCCACATCGGAGACTGGCCCCTGCAGGACCTGGCTATAGGGCAGGGCCCCTGTGGGCATCTGGCCCACACCAACTGCCGTCCAAGGGAACTCTGAGGAGCCCAGGGAGCTTCTGAGGAGCCCCTTAGGAGGTGGCAGCTGGCAGTGGGGACATGGGCTCCAGGCATGTAGAGTGTCCACGTGTCCAGCCTCACCTTGACCACACTAATGGGCTTCCTGGCCATGTGGTAGCAGGTGTAGATGAGGAAGGTGAGCAGCAAGATGAAGCCTCGGTACCTGCGGAGGACACGGAGCCGCGGAGGGGGTCAGCTGGCTGCAGGTCTGCCTGGGGCCCTGGGGCACCTGGCAGCCCAGGGCCTCCGACCGCCCACTCCACCTCGGGCACCCAGACTCAGTTCTCTGGGGTTGAGGGTGCGGATGCTCAGGCCTCCCTGGCCTGCTCTGAGCTGCCACCCATGGGTCCTTGAAGGTCGAGGTCCAGGGGAAGTGGGCCCACTCGCGTGCCCATCACAGTGGCCACCCCTGGCAAGCCAAGGCCCAGCACCAACACGGAGGCGGCCCTGCTCCCGCCGCGCCACCTGCCCCCACCTGCTTCTTGGGCCTCCAGGCAAAGGTGCCTGTGTCCGTGCGCAGCAGGGATGGGCCACAATTAGGGTCTCCCTAACACGTTATGAGCAGTGGGGACGGCCTGTGTGCAGCGTGGGTCGGCCCCTCCGAGACAGAGCATGCCCAGACCCACGCACGTTCCACCACTGGCTGGGCCACAGCACCTGGTGGACAGAGAGCCGTGCGTCCGGGTCATACACGCACCCTCCCGCCCCAGGCTGGTCTGGCTGGCAGGGCTCCGCATCCTCCCTGAGCCAAGCGGCTCAGGAAAACAGCTCAGCAGTGCCCCCACCAGGGGAAGGGCAGGGAGGCCTGGCACACCGGGGGAGAGGAGTGGACGTGCCGCTGAACCAGGACCAGTGCCCACTCTGCCTCCAGGCTCCGCCTCTAGCCCAGGCCTTCCCCAAGGCTCGTGAGGCCTCGACCTGGGATGCAGTATCCCACAAGGTCTGTCCCTCCTCTCCCTACCCACCTGGCCTGCTGGGAACAGCCTTCAGCACCCCAAGTGCCGTGGCCACCCTGTCGGACCTCTGTAGGCAGGTCTCACTGCATGCCCCTCGGCTCCCCGCCCCCAAGGTGCCTGTGTCCCAGGGCCCCCCGGGTGTGTGAGGTCTGCAGGGAATGGGCCAGCCCATGCCTGGCGAAACCTGGGGGCAGCTGATTTCTGGGCTTGCCCCTAGGCAGTGATGCACAGTTCCAATAGGGGACTTCCAGGGTGAGGGCTTCTCAGAGAACAGGAGTGACCAGAGGTCCAGTCTGGGCTGGGCGGGGACCACGGGCAACCAGGGCTCCATCCTCCTCCTGGGACACATGGCAGAACTCTGGCTGGCCGACTGCACGGAGGGGGTCTCGGCATGGCTGGGCACCTTGGAGGGTCACCCTCCCCCTCTCCTCTCTCCCTCCCGCCCTCCCTCCCTCCCTCCATCTTTCTCTCTCTCCCTCTCACCGCCCCTCTGCCCC